AACCTATTCACTCCTAAAATCGCTCTCACCTCGGACTTTTGCAACCACTATATATATATATATATATATATATATATATATATAATATATATATATATGATATTTCAATGAAGTTGAAAAGTCGCGTATACTGCGCCACTGTACGATCAGTTTTTCTTCACGGTTGTGAAACCTTGAATTTGCGGGCAGAAGACATCCGTCCCCTAGTGGTTTTCGACAATCGATGCTTACGTAGTCTGGCCCAAATGGGATGGAGTGACCGGGTTAGTAACTTAGAATAAGTCGTTGGGTGTTTGGGAACCCATCGAACAAAAACTCGCTATCGCATCGTATTCAGCCTAATAGGCTCCGTTGATTAGGACACGTGTTGCCTATGTTCGACGGTCGCCTCCGCAGCTCGCCTTATTCACAGTGGCTGTCTCAGGCTGGAGAAAGCCACCTGGAGGCCAGCAGATTATGTGGAGACGAGGCATGAAGAAATGCACAGAGTGATTAGGTTAAGTAGGTGTCTCGTCTTGCGGGATGGGGTTCAAAAAGCTCCGAAACCGCATGGTTGGAGACACTGAAGATCATAGCTGCGAACCGACAGCAGTGGCGATCATGCTGTGACTTCTTATCAGACCACAATGCTTGAAGTAGTATGTATGCACAGTAAGACTGTGTATTCTGTGTGTTGACCATAGAGGATCGTTTTCTTTTCTCGTCCCCTAAAATTAAGTCCAATCCCTATCCTCCTTACACATTCTCATTTACTTCGCATGCAATATGAGTTTGGCAGCGGTCAGTGAAGTTCGCTTCATGTATTACGCTGTACAATGATGATGATGATGTCAGCGTGACTTTGTTCTTCCCATTTCTGTTTGTTTCTTTGCAGTCCAAAGTGGTCAACGACGGTCTCGTTCTCGTAGTTCAAGTCCGTTGAAGCATCTTGCAAAACCGAGCTCCGGTCGGTGCAGATCGCCTGTCCACTCTCGTTCTCCACCGAAACCATCGCGCCCTCATATGCGCACTAGTAATCACTCCCCTGGGACGACTCGAGATCGACGCGGATCACCCAGTCATCGTGTCCCGGATTCCACCGTCCTCTATCGTTCTTCCGGCTCGTTGCGGTCGGAAACAAACCATTTAGGGCGAGAATCGCATGGACTACCACGAACAGAGCGTCATGCATATCATGGATCTGCCCATTCTCCGCCACGCAATAAGGCCCGTTTGAATCGTGATTCCCTTGCACTTTCCCGACTCCCAATTCATTCTAGGGGTCCTCTAAACCCACGTCGCCTACTTCCGCGAATCCAGCCAGGATCGCGTTTTGCTTCGCGACGATTTTAGCAGGACTTTCAAGTTCAACACGATGCCAAAAATACAAGTCACTTAAATTGACTATTGCATTCCAGAAGTTCTTTCCCTCCTCTAAACGCACACCGCTCCTATCGCGTTTTAATCGACTCGTGCGACATTGGGTGCTCTGCTCGCGTCCCTAAATATTCGTTATTTTTCTACTCCATACACGAATACGCGTTGTACGTTCACTAATTTTTTCGTTCGTTTTTTGGAACTGTGCACATTCGCAAAATACTCTACCATCCTCTCCAGCATATCTAGGTCAACTTCCGTAGTGTTATTTCGTATCCTGTGTGGCATTGGGTTCTCACGGAATTATAGACACTCGTCACGCCGGTCCGATGGATACGTCCCACCGCAAGCCCACCGTCACTTGTGGCTATCGCCCAACCTTGTTTCCTCCACTCCTGGGTTCGCTGCAGTGATCACCAGGCTACCCAGTGACTGCCACGACCCAAATTCTGTATTTTGTTTTGTCTTTTCATGTGACATTTCGATCCAAATTGTGATCTACCGCAACCGGGATTGGCTGTCAATCGGTTTCGACTTTTGTGTGCGTGTAACACTTACATCACGTGTGTGATTCCCCCATCTCTCTCTGTCTCTGATGCGCCGTACCTTCACGGTGTTCGCCGTATCCCGTCGATATAGACAGACTAACTGCAGCTCAGGGTCCCATGTTTGTGTTACGTTTACTTCCTTGTCGGGTTTTGAGCTATACAGACAGAAATACATATTGCAGTTCTCTCTCTCCCTTGTTCTGTAACTACATTCGCACACGTAATAGTTTGGATCTATCAATAAAATAGATCGTGGTTCTAAGAAACAGTTAGTCAATTCTTTATCCCCTTCCCACAAGTTATGACCTATACACACAACTCGGTATCCGAAGGATTAAAAAGCACATAAGACTTAAGATTTTCCTCATTGCTTTTCGGAATGAACATTGCAAATCCTTCACGGTTGCGTAAGTGTCTCTCATCACAAACGGACAGAAATCAGAATTACTATACCGTGCATTCAGCGAAATCCGGTTTCTGCGGTATCTATATTTCGAATGCCCATCATGATGAAATCGGCCATACGGATTTCTTTAAACGATGCTGTTTGAAAAAAGACATTTTGTATGATCACACCCATGAACAGACTAGTTCGCTTGCCTGTTCTTTTAGTTGTGAAGTCTAAATTGCAATCATCGTTATATTACCACAAGGTCTTTGCCCCAAATTACCCCAGTCGAGATTGACTTGGCTCCAAACTCCTAATTAGCATTAGCATTTATACCGGGTTCACCGAATAAACTGTATTGCTTCAAACGCGCATTGAATACTCATTCTGTTTGTCACTCACATCCACGCTCTGCTGCACTATACCTTTTTCAATTAGAGATGTCCGAATATCAATTTAAGATGTCACAATACCAATTTAAGATGTCGGAACATCAATTTAAGATGTCATGTTGCTATCTTAGACGAGTCAAACGTTGGCACAGTGTGATCATCGATTGAACGTTCCGAATTTCCCACATGGTGCATCGTTCCACAACTGATTCTTTACCAACACTTGAGTAGCATCGGATTTAGATCTATGCCGGCCCGAAAATCACACTACCGATCGGATTCATTTATCGACCGGTCAGATGGTGCATTCGCAACAGGGGACCTGGTGCTTGTCCAGCTAACCCGAGGGAGGAGACACACCTTTATAGTGGCGAGTCTGACGGGTCCAGTGAACTTCGACCGTACAGGAGGCTTGCCATCACTGAACGTAACAACAAGAACATGTGAAACGACGGAGCAATCGGACTATTCATATAGCAACATAACATCTCAAATTGAAAGTAAATGTTTTATTATGGGCATTATATAGAAGCAGATGCTTTTCTCGTCCCATAGGGTGTTTACACGAATTGAACTGTAACAATAATGATCAAAATTCCATATGATGTATTCGGTTGTGTTATGTGTGCTCGTGGATGTTGGAATTTAATGTTTTAATGATTCGTCAAGTTTTACCTTGAAAGAATCAATCGTCTTGGCACAAACAACATGTGATGGTAAGGAATTCCAGACAGTGCACACTCTGACGACGAAGGTATGACGTCGACAGTCCAATCGAGATTTTTGGAGTAGTAACTTGAATGGATGTCCCCGTAGATGAACGTTTGATGACAACGTCAAAAGTCAGCGACAAGGGTGGTTTGGGTTGTGTAATACTTGGTACACTAAAATTAAGTCTCCTCGAATCCGACGATACTGAGCAGAGTATAGGCCCAAAGACTGAAGTCTCCCCATGTATGAATCAGAATAGAGTCCTTTGACCATGTTCGTGACGAGTCTTTGTGGACGTTCCAAAATCTTATGATTACGTTGTAACCAAGGGTTCCAAGTTTGGATGGCATACTCAATATGCGGCCGGGTGTATGCTGACAGCAGACGTGAGAATAAAGATGGTTCCAAACGACCGAAAGCACGTTTTAGTAGACCGAGATGTTTGAGTGCTGTTGATGACGCTCTGGTACAGTTAATACAACAGCTCAGGTCTTTGTGGACTATAACACCCAAGTCCTTCTCTGTTGATGCATGAGGCAGTAATTCGTTTCCAAGGAAATAAGGAACCCGCCTGTGGTGGCGTAGCGAAATCAGATTTATAAGTCTATCAGAAATGCTTGCCAGGTGACCATTAGGTCACATACGTCCCCAGGAAAGATCAACTGAGTGCAGTGAGCCAAATGCTGCAATCTAGTATAGTCCGTGACGAGACATGTATTATTTTGCGGAGTTCTTTCTATCGAAGCGTAGCGGACATTTGAACAGCAATACTGCATGGCCACTGTGTCCTATGGATTTTACCATAAGTTCTTGGTTGGTTAATACCAGATCCAGCATTGACGACGTCCTCCAGTTCCCAAACCTCGTGGGCTCCTTCACGTGGTTGTAGAGCGGATGCTAGTTGATTAACTGTTTAAACTGGCTTGAACGATGGGTAGAGGTCAAAGTTTGATTGTGATTGAAGCCACCCACCATTAGAATATGACTAAATTTGGCAGATAGGACTTGTGAAATAGCTCGCAAAAGTGTATCGTTTGCTGCCTCCGTGGATGAGGGAGAACAATAGACCACTCCAAACACACAATCGTCCTGCTTGGACGGTTTCAGTTTACACCAAATTGTTTCAGGGGCTGAAACAGGAGGATCGATTGCATCGCACTGGAGATCGCTTCGATGTTAAAGTAGAACACGACCTCCACGTGTTGGACGATCGCGTCTGAGAAGATACATGCCCGATAGGCACAACTCAGAGTTGAGAATGTCGTCCGTCAACCAAGTTTCTGTAACAGCAATGACATCCCACTGGCTGGATTGAAAACGCAACACCAGTTCGGAGAACTTACTACGGAAACCTTGGGCATTAGAGTAGCAACAGATCAAATGTGCTTGGTGTAGAAGTCCCTTTGGGTGAGAAGTAGATTCATTGCCGACCCTGTCATGGTCGGATAACATTGTTTTTTGGGGGAGGGAGCCCGGGTACTCTGATCCCCCAATCGTGGAGGGGAGCATGAAGCCGGAATCGATTGTGCATTACCACCGTTATCACAGCGGAAATTCCGATACTGTAGTCTTCATCAAGGGCGCAGTTCCGGTGGTCCTTTCTTCTTGTTTAGTTTCCAAGATTGAAGTACTGTGGTCGCCATTTCTGGTGTGCTGAGGATGACTTTCATTATCTTCGGGCCGTTACAATGGTAATTTGGTGAACAAGACGACTGGTTGATTTGGTAAAAACATCTTGGCAGCTTATTAGGTCCTTAATGAAACACCACTCATTATAGTAGTCATAGGAGCATCTGCACTCATCAAGATCATTCAGTAGAGGGAATGAATGAGAACAACCATTTGTTCTCTACCTCCCATGCACCCGCTTGATTGTTCCGGTGTTGCACGCTCTCCGCCCATGGTTTATCAGAAAATTCGTGTGGTTTAGTTCAGTTCAGTTTGAACAACCATTAACCACGCATATTCGAGCGCCGGTTTTGGTTGCTGTCTCTTGGCTGTCCATTTGGATGAAGAATTGGAGAAGAAAGGAAAGTTAAAAGTGGAGTCGAAAAGAAAATGAAGAAGTTCAGTGGTCTAAGGTTGGAAAGAAATTGAGGAGATGCACGAACGCCACTGTTTACGA